AATTGGTCTTAATTGACGGAATTGTGAAAGTGTGTACCTCCCAGGGTCATAAACACTAAGCCTTAATTCAAATCAAATGTATATTTTAAAAAGCATGTCCGGCATCATAGACTCCTTTCTGTTTGGGTTTAGTTGACATTAGCAATGGTATGGAAACCTGATCAGGAAAGGTTTGCTGTTATTACTGCTTTGAATATGAACTTATGCTTCTCAGCACTCTAAGTAGCTGATTAGGGGAGGGAGTAATATTCTACTTAATTATTGGTTACATATATGGAATAAATCCTATTTTAATGGTGTCTAATGAGCCTTTCATTTTTAGAACCTTACACAAAAGCCTCTAATAGAAAGGGAAAGTAATATTTCAAAGGTCATCTTAATGCCACTTAATGTCAACAATCCGTAATCAAGCCAATATATATAGATGGTGATTACAGTCCAGTTACAATTCTTTAAATATAAAATAATCTAAATTAGCAAAGTGATACAAGCTAAGGTTCTTTAGGTTTGCAATAACTTAAACTTTCTAATTAAAGTTTGTTGCTTGAAAACAGCCTCAGAGTTAAAGAAATCCTTCTCAGAGTGAGGCTTCATGCAATGCAGTATTTTCAAGACCCATGAGTGTAAGTTCTATCACTTAACAGTTTCATGCACCATTCCCATATGTGTCCGCAAAGCCACTGAAATGTGCAAACAGAAAATGATGGCTCCCCTTCTGTGCTTTTTCTCAACAAGAGAATGTAATGGGCAGAAGTATGGGATGTTTTATTGGTCAGGAGGCCACCGAGGGAACTTGTGGGCACACCTATTTCAGAACCAGGTATCTGCCTAGTGGCAAATTAAAAAGTTGGGAATTTAAAGAGTCTCCAGTAAGAGATGGAGATTCTGAGATTTTGTCCTTTTTGCCCCGCTCTGGAATGGAGATGCCTTTTCCATCCTAGGATGGTCGCTGCTACACTAGTCCCTATGACCCTTGTCTGAATTAGAAATGGGTAAATTCTGCAAAATGCTTTACTTTTATCACAAGATTTTCATCAATAAATGGACAGTGATCACAGTATGAATGGCATTCCCTGACTCACCTGCTCACAGTGTAGTAGTGTTCATCAGAATATCAGAATCTTCTGGAGGGCTTGTTAACAGTCAGATGGCTGGACCTCACTCCCAGCATTCTGATTCTATAGGTCTGGGGTCAGAGAATGTGTATATCTGACAGGTTCCCAGGCGCTGCCAATGTTGCTGGTCTAGGGACCCCGTCTTTGAGAAACACTCCTCAGGGGTGCATCAGTATGTAACCTGCCCAGTCGTACACATTGACCTTGCTTTCATGCACATAGGGCTTACTCAGTATTTGCTGGGAAAAAATAATGCTATTTAGATAAAATTACTAACATAGGGGAGATTTTCTAGCAAGGAGCTTGGTATGCCGAATGCACACCAGGCCCCTTTTCCACCACTGCTGCTCCCCACACTGTCACCCTGCATTTGTCTCCCTTGTGCTCTATTCAGTCACCTTCTGTTTCCCCCTTGGATTCTGAGAGTTTGCTTGTTGGTTAGTGTTTCTCTTGTTTTCCTGTTCGTAGTCTGTTTTTGAACCTCGGGCAAACTCTGGCCTGATCATTCAGTCATGTGTCACTGAGTCCTGGGCTCATGGTTCTACAGTTAGTCCAGGAAGCAGAAGATCTGAAAATAGGATATTGTTCAATTTGGGTAGGAGCTGTCCAGTGGCAGTGACACAAGCAGTCAGTTAACAATTTGGACCTTGGATCTCAGGAAGGGCTTGAACTTTAGGAACCTTGAAGAGAAAGCATCTGGCCAGACCCAGGGAAACACTCCTAATGTTCCGTGCTTCCCTAAGTGTAGATGTCAGTTTATAAGGTGAGACTTGCTTCCTCATTAAAGATTTGGAAAACATGAAAAAAATAAGAAGGATAAAAGGCATCCATTTGCCCAGTCAAAGAATCTAATTTTGGTATATTTTATAAACAGTCTTTTATAAGCCTACCTAAATGTTGTTTTATTTTTAATGCATTTGCATTTACTTGAACTTACAAATCTAGGGGTAAAACTGCCTGAGGGAGGGGAAATTCTTGTGATGAATTACAGGGTTGTTCCCATAATAAATGATAATGATTCAGGATAAAATTGTTTGCTTTCAAGTTTCATCCAGATGCCATTAGAGAAATGAGTAGCACCTCCTTTCTCTTTTGGCAGAATTGTCAATGTGACAAGTTCATTCAGGTGTGGTGCCCTGCACACTCCTGTGAGGAGCTGGATATTTTGTGCCTCACCAAGGCATTTATTAATCCTTTAGTGTGTGATTTTACTGGTCTTGGGTTCTATGGTTCCTGCAAGTGAATTCTTCAACAAGAGTGAGTTACAGGTGTATGTTATGAGCCCCTGACTACATGAAATTGCCTTTCTTCTTCTGCCTTTATTCATACAACATAATGAGGTCAAACCCTTCATTCATAAACTTTTCCCTTGAGAATACTGTAATGCTATTCTATTGTCTTCTGCCCTTTCTTGTTACAGAGGAAACATCATCTGATATCAACTGGATTTTGATTATTTTACAGATAATCTTTTTGTTGTCATTTTCAGTCTGGGTGCCTATATTTTCCTCTGTCCTTGCTGTTTGAAAATGGTCAGGATATTCTGAGATACTGTTCATTTTGCACTGATTTGCTTGGAATCCAGTAAGCCCTTTGGTCTTTGATTATTGCTTCTGTTAAGAGTAATAACAGCAATTAATTGAGTTTTAACTGAATATTTAAGTGGACATTTAACTGGAAAGACTTGGAAATGGTATTCTTACATATAGTTTATGTCTTATCAAGTGAACAGTTTGAATTAGTCAGGGACATGTCTTGGATCCTTCTAATCCCTCTATGGTAGAACTAGCGATGTTGTTTTATCCTGTACTCACAGAAACCTCATTAATCTTATTCTAAAGTAGTTCTCCACTCTCATCCTGGTGCTGAAACAATGCAGCTTTCTCTCAGACCAAGATCTGAGGCGACTGTGGAACAGAGTGGATATGGGGCCTACTCAGGTTTGGGTATGTGCCCCTGGAGCTGGCCCCAAAATGGAATCCACCCTACAAAAGAGCCTTGCTAGGAACTAGGCTACAGACTTGGTGTGTCTAAAACCACAAGCTCATTTCAGACCTAAGTGTGGTCCACCAGGTGATTCCAAGTCAAATAAACTGAGCTCCAAGAGTTTTCTCTGAGTCGTCATTCAAAGAGAACCCTAAAAACAGAGGTTTGGTCAGCAGAGGCCTCTTAGCTATGAGTTAGGGTTTAATTTTGAGCCCCTTTATTCTTAAATTTGAGAGTCACTTGAAAAGCTGCAGAAATGAGCCCCTTAACTCCTCTCTCCCTCTAGTGACGTTTCCTTTCACTCTGCTGAGAAAGTAGTTGGCTTCGTCAGCATTCATCTTCTGCTCAGGCTAAATTTATTTTTATGTGAAATAGAAATCAGGAAAACACCAAAATTATTTTAAGCAAAATATCAAAATTGAAATAAACCAACATATGTCTGTGAAACATGTATAACTCTCAATCAAAAATAAGTACAACTTTCATAAATTTCTTAAAATACTCCAGCATGCAAAATCTGGACAACTTAAATAGATGGAGTTATGACATGTTTAATTTTTTTTTTTTTACTTAGTTCATCCTTTACTTAAAGATGAAAATTCCAATAACCAAAACCTGGCTGGCTCTAGATCATTCTGTTGTGAACAATGTCCTCTACCATCTATTATAGTAAGAGAGCCAAAGAGTTTTATAAAATTTCTTGCAGCAAGGTTAAGTTATACCTGCTAATTTTGAATGGGAACCATCTGGAACTTACCTTCCTTTTGTACACACCCTCACCCCACTGCATTTCTCTGTAAGAAGTGAGGCTTCTTAATTGCTTTAAATGTATTTTGCTTCGTTCCAGTAGGTTTTCCATATTTCTCCATTTCCCTTCCAGTGAGAACTCAAATGGGATTAAAACTGTCTAAGTAACATAAATATTCTGGGGCTTAGGACCAAAGGGAGAGTTAAAAGATAAATCCCCATCTTACCTTTATGCTTCATTTATATGCTTTCTCTAACACATTTTCTTTGATTGTTACTTCAAGGATTGGAATCACTTTAACCCTATTAATAGTAGCTGATATTTTGCCCTCAGAAGACATTGAGTAAATATTACTGTCAATAAATACTATTGACAAACCAGTGACACATTTATTGAAATCTTAAGTCTTTTCTCTTCTTTTCCTCATGAATTAGATAACAAAATGTCTAAAAAGTAAAAAAAGATTAAAGTATTACAGTACTTTATTTGGAAAATGATTTCGCACTAAATGAATTGTCTTTTAGCTTCCTTTATAAAAGTGTGTTAAAAACTTTATCTCATTAGCCTTGTCATTACCATATACATTAACATGGTCACTCTTTTGAGGGTTGGAAAAACTTACAAATTTAGTTAAGGAAATGTGTGATCATATTGATCTAGTGGATGCATGTCTTTTTCATCCTGGGCTGTCAGATCTTCAATTCTCCTTTTTCTCATATATCACTCTGATGTTTTTTTCTTATTAGTTTATTAGTTGTCAGAAAGTTTCTTCTTTTCCAGTTCCTTCAATTTAGACCAATTTGGAAATGGAAAAGTGTGTTAATTTTTAATAAATCTTTAAGACACACATTACTGTATTTTTATTAACAGAGCCAGATGGCTCACAGTGAATTTTCTCTGACATAAGTAATCAGAGAAATCAGTTTGGGACCCAAATCTGGTACAGAAAGTGGCATGTATATTCAGTGGAAAAATGCAGTTCACGTAAACATTTGGATATTTTTAGGAGCAATATTTATTAATGTTTGGATTTGATTTTATTTTATCATTTTCAGCAAAGTACAAACTAAGGACATTTTTCTTTTTCCTGTCCCCCAGACTCAAACATCCAGGGCTCTTCTCAACAACCAAAAATTGTTTTCTTTTTGCAGTTTGAAGGTTGCAAGAAGGCCTTTTCAAGGCTTGAAAATCTCAAGATCCACTTGCGGAGCCACACAGGCGAGAAGCCGTATTTGTGCCAGCATCCGGGTTGTCAGAAGGCCTTCAGTAACTCCAGCGACCGCGCCAAACACCAGCGGACGCATCTGGACACTGTAAGAATGGCAGGAGCTTTCCAGTTTCCAACCCAGAACCTGGTGTGAGGAAGTGCCTGCTTGATAGTGGGCTGGTGAAGTGTTTGCTTTATGGTCTGCAGGTTACAGGGACAATGCCAAGGGCAGCAGTGGAGCCTGGTAAAAGGCCAGATGGGGCCCTATTTGGCTGTTTCAGTTTTCTGTAGTAGCAGGTTATTCTAAATATTACAACCTCCTGGGACAAAAGGGTGACTTGGTCACCGCTGTGTACAAAGCAAAAGCAGTTTAGGAGCTGTCCTGTAGTGGATTTTAGTACAGAGAGTGATCAGTAGAGACGGCATTAAAATCAGTATTCAGATATCAAGTTGGTAATGTATGCTATTGCTAGGAATATCAAGCAGTTTTTGTTTGTTTTTCTTTGTTTTTTTCTACCCTGGTTCTTTTCCTCTTGACATAGAACTTTGCGGCTGGAATGATTTTCAAGAGTGAATTTGGCCCTTTGCTTTAGAAACCACCTGATATTTTCACCTTCAACTGATCTAAGAAGAAACAGCAAATCTTTCCCAAGAGTTCAGTTTCCTCATGCTTTCTATCTGTTAACAGCCGCATATTCTTTGACATCAACCCTATGAGAACAATTGATTTTCATTATTACACGCTTAACTCCCTTAATGCTACAACATTTTGCTCGTTCCCAAATGCCTTTTCTATGATTCTTGTCTTTTATTTTCTCAATTATGTTGATAGCCCTCCTTTGCATTTCCCAGGTTTTGATGCCATTTTCCTTACACTAGGCCAGATAGACTCTATGTAATTTCACTTTGCTTAACAAAGCCGTCAGCATAAGTGTATTATACACATCATAGATCTCTTATCCCACATTCTTGCAAATAATGTATTCATGACAGTACTTTTTCGGTGTTAACATTCTGATGTCTATTATTAAACTACACTAGAGTTTGAATTTTGAAAAGATACTGTTATTTCTACACACCTTCTCATACATATTTAAGATCCTTCTGATGTTATAGTTGACATATTTATTAAATTTTATATTAGTCTCTATTAGTCATATTCATAGAAGTCATTTTAGCTATATGTCACATAACCTTTCTAAACAGAATTATCCCCGAATATGCATAAATGTGATGGTTTGCCTAGTAAATATCTCAAATATAGTTAGAGCAGCATGGGTGTAGGATGGACCCAGTTTCTACTCTACCTGAATTCAGTGATTTTAGGGCCAATAAATAGAATACTATGAATAAATGTGGTGAATAGTGGGATTTTTCTAAGTAGAAAAAGAAAAAAAAAAAGAATAAATTGTGTTAAAATGCCCTATTTTGTTGTGCCTAAAATGCTCTTGGTGGGATCAAACAAATTTTCCAATTTGTCATTAATCTTTATCATGGAAGAATGAACATTTATGAGACAAGATTGTCTTGAGAAATTGCTTCTACTCCACCTAGTTATCTGTAGTTAGAAAGAACTATTGTGAGGCTAAGTGTTATGGTTTCGCACTGGCCTCCTTTGCTTGGAGCTAATTTTAGCTAACCAAACTAAGAGCATTTTCAGAAATCATTTTGGAATAAAAATATATATCTTTTTAAAAAACATTTGAGGAAAACTACCTAATACAGTGATTTCCCAATTTTTGTTAATGCAATAGCTTTTAAAACTCAGCTATTTTTGTTTTTTTGGAAAAATTATTTCTCTATTAAATATTTTTAAAGCATCATTTTTTCCTTTAAGCTCCAAACTAGCTCCTGTTTAAACTTTTACTACATTTAACAAATTAGTAAGCTCTTTTAAAATCCTATAGAAACCACACACTTGATTTTAAAAACAAACTGTACTTGCTTGAAGAATTTATTATTTAAATTTAGGTCCTTGTTCCCTTTCATTAAGCACTCCTTATGCTAATACTGTCAGAATTTTGGATAAAGTATCTTTCTTCAACTAAGTGGATTCCTTATTTGTAGAAAAAATGGTTTTCCCATAAAGATTACTGAGTTCCTAATTCTAACCCTTAATAGTTGTATTAATTAATTTCTCTATTAGCATCTTAATATCTAGACAGGGAAAGTAATTGTACAGTACAGGTGGAAAATAACAAAATATATAGTTGGATGAAGTGTAGCATGCTAGTTAAAGCTTAGGTAACGTGAGATAAAATGACGGGTGCAGCAGTACTACTTAGATCAGTCCCTGACATTGCTATTTTGGCATACCAGTCCCTCCCTGGTGGCTGACAACAAGAGAAGAAAGTGAAGGTCAGCTGAGAGGAACAGTGAGTGTGTAGTCAAGCTTTCTCCAAGAACATCTCAAAATCAAATAGAAAGCCGGGCACGGTGGCTCACGTCTATAATCCCAGCACTTTGGAAGGCCGACGTGGGTGGATCACCTGAGGTCAGGAGTTCAAGACCAGCCTGGCCAACATGGCGAAACCCCATCTCTACTAAAAACACAAAATTAGCTAGGCATGGTGGCGCATGCCTGTAATCCCAGCTACCTGGGAGGCTGAGGCAGGAGAATCTCTTGAACCCGGGAGGCGGAGGTTGCAGTGAGCTGAGATCGTGCCATTGCACTCCAGCCTAGACGACAGAGTGAAACTTTGTCTCAAAAAAAAAAAAAAAAAAAAAAAAAACAAATAGAGAATGACATTACCAACCTAAATTGTAGTGACCGTGGTAATAATAATGGCATCAATGTATATAATTTGTTAATAGTCTTCAAGCCTTTTGTACATGTAACATCTCCTCTAATGCTCAAAGCATAAGCTTTTACAATGGGATTGCCAGTAAAGATCTTAGCTAGTTGCGCTCCTGAAGCCAGGGCAGGGTGGGGAAGGCTAGTGCAAGAAGGCTATGCGAATTCAGAAAAGATTCCCAGGTTAAAGAAAACCTTTGCTTACTCAGTAGAAACTAACTGGCAAGTGACTTTAGCCAATAATCTCACTATTTTGTAGAAACCATGAGGTATCGAGAACCTGGTTCATCTGTTGTTCACTTTTAGATCCCTAATCTGAAACACAGTGCCGCGCACATCCCAGAAGCATACTTTTGAGTGATTCAACCAACCAGACAAACAGTCAGTCAGTCAATGAACACAGCAGATATCAAACATAGAATTCAAGTTTGGTATGTCAAGTTAAATTATATAGTCATGATTTAACCTTGTTCTTGGAATCAAAAATGACACACAAAAAAGGAGTGAACCATAAATATGGCTTCTAGCAGGTCAAATACTGTAATCCACTTATTTGTTGGCTCACAGAATGACACACATGCACATAAAAACAGAAGCAACAATAAAATCAGATTAGTCAGATGATGATGATGATGATTATTATTTTACTATAACAAGTTACTAGAGCAAGAATCCCAAGACAGGGTTTCAGGTCTGGTCCTTACATTTCACATCATACAAGCACAGCTCTAATACCTTACTTGATGAGACTCTAAGCAGATCAGTTACTATTAATATATGTTATAAACACAGTTAATCCTGTGATTTTTAAATTATTCATTTCTTGAAAAAGCAGAAGATTTTGATTTATCTCACAACTGAAGAGTCATAGCCTCCAACCTTTGGTAAGTTTAAGGGTCATAACAGTAGGAATAAGTGCTGAAATGTGAATGGATGTGAGCTGCTGTTATTCATTCATTCCTATTATGTACCAAGCACGAGGGGTACAAAAATTAAAAAATGCCAGGCATGGTGGTGCACACCTTTAATCCCTGCTACTCAGGAGGCTGAGGCAGGGGAATCACTTGAACCCAGGAGGCAGAGGTTGCAGTGACCCGAGATTTCATCACTGTACTCCAGCCTGAGCAACAAGAACAAAACAACACACACACACACACACACACACACACACACACACACACACACATATATATATATATATATATAAAAAAGCCTAGACTCAGCCTTAAGCACCATACCTCACATCTTCTAGGAGCATGGGGAAGTTGAAATAGCCAAAATGTGTGTTCTGATTGCACTCAGCCAAGAGCTTATTCACTTAACTCAGGCTCAACACTAGGACACCTCTGCAACTAATATTATTATAGCTTCTCTGGATGATTTTTCATGTGTCTGTTTGAAACCTACTGTCTCTTACTCACTTTACACTAATTTTCTCTTCTTAATTCTCTCCCTTTCTCTTCTGAATCAGGTTTCTTCTGAAAAATACCCAGTTTTTTTCTGGACTTTACTACAGCTTCTTTACCTGAACCCTTAAAGAATATGTGTTTACTAGTTTCTGACAGTACCAAAGATTATTCTCAGGGAAACATAACTGTAAGTATGACTAGAGATGCTTACTAATAATTTCCACATTAAAAAGTGCCACAAGCGGTTTTGTGGTTAGAGTGTACACTAAAGCAATCTCTTAGAAATCATCAAGGATAGGGCATCTCTTTGTTTCTTGAAAGTTTACCCTTATCTTAACCATCATGTGAAGTTACTAGACTTTGTTATTAAAATACATGAGTATTAGCTAGCATTTCACATCAGTCAGTTGGTAACAGTTCATGCTCTGAAGTCAATAGTCTTTGAGTGAAACATTCCCCAGTTACCTTTATGATTTAACCACAGCTGTTTCTTTCTTTCTTTCTCATTTAGAAACCTTATGCTTGTCAAATTCCAGGATGTACCAAACGCTACACAGACCCAAGTTCCCTAAGAAAGCATGTGAAGGCACATTCTTCCAAAGATCAACAAGCAAGGAAAAAGGTAATTTTAAAAGAGAATCTTCCAGTTGGGAAAAGCATGTTCAAATTATTCTTGTAGTACACGAAACTTCTGCAGGGCACTTAAAATTCTTATACTTCTCATAGTGTAACCTGCTCTAGACCGTTTGAGGAGGTAAGTCTCCCATGAAGTAACAGCAAGGCTATGGTTTGCATAGCTGATATAGCTATGCAAATTTCTGGGGAAGGCTTGTATAATAGGAATCAGAGAAAAGTAAGGAAGGTCCATTAAACTGGAAAGCAACAAAAAGCTTTTGTGGAAGTTAAGTTCATATAGCTAAAGATAATTGAATTGGGGAAACCACCACCACAGAAATCTTTCTGGAAAGAAATGCTTTTTCATAAAATATCAATTAGCCAAAATCGTGAAGCTCTAATGAAGAAGATAAGTAAGTCTGTATGACAAGTAGAGAGCATTCTTTACGCTTAGAGAAAAAGCAGATTTCTGAATTTGTATGAAAATCTGAAAAAGGAATTGAACTTAAAATCACTTTGACATTAATGAGGGGTTAATGCATTTTCAAAGTTCATAAAAATCGTAATATCTCAGATTTGGAAGAAATGTTAGAGACCAACCAGCCAGTCCACCTGGCTTGCTCTCCTAACTCCATAAGATGTCTAGCAAGTGGTTGACTGCACTGTGCTTCAACCCCTCCAGAGACAGAGAGCTTACTACCTTTCAAGGCATTTCCTAGTAACTAAGTTTTTACATTTTTGGATCAATGAGTATCTTCTATTCATGGCAGAAAACATGTTGAGCTGACCTTGGCTTTTCGAGTGTTTCATTGGTATTGAGATGGGTTCTTGATTCATTTAAGGGCCCTTTATAACAAATTTAAGGGCAGTTTAAGACTCAACGTATTTCAAGTGATTGAACCCCATGGCAAGGGTTTTCAGGTCACCGTGGCTTCTACTGAGAAATTTTGCATTCCTTCATGGTTTATAGGGATTTAACACTTTTATGTTGGGAAATGCTCTGTAGTCTTCTTGTTACTTGAGATTTTTTTTTCTTCCTTGAGACGTGTTAGCACAGTGCCAGCCAAGGGTGCGTATATGGAAAGAATTTGACCTTTTCCCTGTGAGTTAGAAAAATGCTCAGTCAGGGGGATTTGATAGATAGTCTTAATTGCATACAAACCCACTCTTGTAAGTTAATTGTTAAAATCATTTTCCCCTAGAAATATAGTTAAATTTCTTTAATTGGAATCCCAGTAAATTGATATCTGTGATCATTAGACAGACACTGGATTTGCTCTTGTGTTTCGGAAAAGCAAAGGAACTGCTAAGTTAATTAATAATGTAAATAAAGTGAGAAAGCATGTGCTTAATCTTCTTAAAATATCACACCCTTTTTGCATGGTATTAACTACTTTCAGCAGGACCACTGTCCATTGTTTTGTTATCATCTATATATATACCTTATAAATTTGAATTAGTAAAAAAAAAAAAAAAACACACCTTCTAGATGAGGGGGTTTTCTTCCCCCTGAATCTGATCATTTTCTGCCTCCAAGTTGTCCAAATGTGTAAGGTTTTATTGTAATAGTGAATCTATCATTAACATCGGAGAGTACCATTGTAGAGATTAACAATTGTCATGGACATGAAAGAGTATCGGTCCCCTATCTAGACAAATAAGCAACACTGTAATGTTCAAGTTAAGAAGGTAACCTAGGTTGACAGATTTGGAAATGTAACGGGATATTTTCAGGAATTATTAATGGTTTCTCCTGTTCAAACTTGATATGTTTCAGCCTCTGTATAAAGAAAGAGTAGTTTCGATTGTGTGAGAGATTGTTGAAGCACTAAATGAAAAAAGAAAACCAGATCTTGAGACTACAAAATATTATTTTACTGACAATTTGCAGGCACCATTTAACAAGCAATCTAAATAAACAAGGGTGTACTTTCAAGGAGCAGTATTGTAATCTCATGTCAAATATTGCAGTGTTATCTTAATTTTGTCTTATGTAAAAGAAGGCCCTGTCTCTCAAATGGCTTAGCTTTTGATGTTCACTGTTTTCTGCAAGTGGGTGAATTGGATTTCATTGACTTGTTGACTTGCAATGCGCAATCCTTAGTGATAAGTTTGCAGTGTTTACTTTCCGATTTTAGCCTGCCTTTTTATCCAAAGATTTTAAAAATTCTTTATGAATCCATGATGGATTAATTTGTGGAAATTGAAATGATGAAAGTTGCTCCATCCAACAAAAAAAGGAAATGTCACTCCCAGGAGAAGCAGTTGCTAATAAACCTGAAACTAGTCAATCCATATTTCCAAATCTTGTGCTGATATACCAGTGTGTAATATTTACATGGTACAATGTTGTTACTAGACCTTGGAGAGATTCTAATTGCTCACTCACATCAGGACTTGGTATTTGAAATATTTCCTGGCAGCAATAAAAAAAAAAGAAACAATAAACCTTTTAAGGCAGAATTAAGATTATTTACGACTTTAATTAAAAATTGAAAACTGGCATCATTTCAAAAAAGCCTTTACAAAAATGTGAATTAATCAAAAATAACCATAAAAATTCCAAGGTGATAAAGGCACAGTGGAGTAATGGTCCTAGTCCTAGGGAATTGTTTTGTTGAAAAGAATAAAACCCTTTTCTGTCACACTCTGTTAGTCATGGACTTATTTAATATACCCTGCTTGCCTGCCTGCCTCTAATCCTCTTTGTAACCTCCCCCTAGACACTAAATGACATTATTTTGGTCTTAACGTTGCCAGTTTTATGAGTCCTACTGTGGAATCAGGGCCAGTGACAAGACACCCATAGCCATAGATAAATGCATGTGAGGAGAGGCAGGGATCTCATAAGTGATGCCCTGACCGTGGACATGTGGCCCTTTCCCACACCTGTCAGATCCTACTGAAAACCAGAAAAACCTGAAATCCCAACTAAACATTATTCAAGCTGTGAAGAGAAAGAAAAAGAAGAAGAAGAAAAAAAAACTCTTCTGCAAAGGAATGGGGATAATTTGGTTCATTGCATGCAGAAGAGTAACTTTTCTCTTTGCATAATTCGTGCACACCCACACATCCCATCATCCGATGTACAGACTTCTTTCATGGAATGTGCTTTGCAGATCTCGAGTCCATTAAATCAAGGGTTACACAGAAAAATGGGTAGCAAATTACTCAAGTCACCAACTATGGTCTCCACAGAGAATAGAAGAAGTTAGCCTATAGAGCAAAAGGTAGAATCTGTCCTTCAATTCCGTCTGATAATGAGTAAGTGAAATAAGAGAAAACTAAGGCAATAAGCCACTTGAAATTTTCCTCAAGGCTATGAGCTTTATCAGAATGTTTCATTTTCACCTTGGAAGTGCCTTAAGCGGGAGGGTTTCCTTTAACTCTAGCCTGATATTGAAATGGACTTTTTAAAAGTGCATGCAAAGAATGCCTGACCAGAAGTTAGAGGTTACATGAATCTTTCATCCATTTCACACTTCCACAAAGATTCAAACTTTATTTGTGATTTGTTAAATGTTTGTTAAACATTGACCTATGATCCGCTGTGGTTGATGGCTTTCACTTTTGTGACCTCAAAACAGGCTGTTATAAACCAAGCATAGCATTTGAAATGGGTGCAAATGCAACACACATTTATATTTCCTACGTAGAGAACAGCTCTGTGTTGCTTTCTGGCAAAATTAGGGCAGTCTATTTACTGTAACTCTTCATAGAGAACTGGTAACTTTTGGGAATCGGTTCAGAGCCACCACCACCTCTCCCTGCTATATACTCAAAACCAGAAAATTTTCATTAAGTACCACATAAGCTCACCTTGCTTTGTACAGTTCTTTGGATCTTTAAGAGCTATGTGAAAATATATATTTTCCTTTAAATTGAAGCATATATTAAGTGGACTAATAAGGCTCACTTTTTCTGTCAGTTGCTTTCAGTCATGGTCTAGACAGCAGATGGTTTATGCACAAGTAGGATACATGACCAGGGGCCGCCCCAGATTTTGTAATCCCTTTTCATTTTTTTCCTTTCTTGTTTCTGCTCAGGAATAAATTAAAAATCAGTTATACTATTAATAGAATATTAGTAATAGGCACATATCACAGACATATCATCTCAAGATGAACTAGTCCACCTCTTCCTCTCACATTTTAGAAACTATATTGGAATGCAGTTGAGGGAGAGTGATGCTGTTATAGGGATGACATTCAAATAGCACTGATTTTTAAAAGCGAGTCACAAACTTCTGTACTTTAATCATTGTTGATGATGCATTACTTACCTCACACCTCAAAATGATGGTGAGACATACCTGAATATCCTGATGCTCTCATTTGAAAGTAACTTACTTCAATAAAGGCTCTGGGAGATGCTTTTGTAAAACAAGTGCTTTTGGTTAGAAATTTTTATGCTAATTAATAATTAAACTCAAATGAAAAAATAAGCCATCTTAAATTTAACGCTGTGCCAATAGCACTGATTTGAAGTTGAAACCAGTTGCTTGGAGGCTTCCCTTTTAAGTAGACCCAATATGATGCCAGCTATGCTTTCCAGAGCATTTTGATGCTACATGGTGATGGGAGCTATTTAACAAGAGGTAAGAATCCTTAATTTGCAGGAATTGGGAGAGGTTGTGAATGAAAGTGACCACTTAGTGAGAATAAGCTTCTCTTCCTTTCTTGAGTGATCAGAGAAGCTGTCTTTGGCCTTTCAGTAAATATAGAAAAATATCAAAAGATGTCTACCACCATCTCTGGGGTAATGGTCCAGGATCTTATTTCGTGCTTAAAGCTTTTCCCCAAGGTGTGCTCTTTAGAATACATTCCACAGAATGTTATTAGATATTTCTTTTAAAAAGATTTTTTGGTCATATAAGTTTAGGACACACTAAGCTAAGTACTATTCAATGGTTTCTTTCTTGCAAGAGTTCTCAGAGGCTTGGATATACGAGTATTCCAGAAGGAAGGTAGTGTTAGGCGTTGCTCAAAATTACTTGGCCAACTAAAC